ATTATCACCATAAAGTAATTCATTAAATAATTTATATGTGCTTGTCCTTTTTTATCTTTGTGTAACAGCCAGAATTTCAAAAGACGTATCCCTCTCCCACTAGGAATTTAAAAGGTACACATATTTATGTGCATTCATACATATACATACCTACACACACCTATAGATAGATAGAGATTTAGATATATACATATATATATAATATGTATGCAACCCTAAATGTACCAAAGACAATCATCCCAGAGCAATATACAAGTGTGATGATAAGCAGCCCCCTTAGAACTAGTCATCACTTAGCCAATTGAAAACTCTTTGAACTCCAAAATTTCAAACTCCAGAATTTTCCATTTGATCACAATCTGCTATCCTTCTGCTTCTCTTAGTCCCTAATTTTTATTTTAAAAATAATTTCTATTTTAATAATTTTTTTCATTTTGTACTAAAGTCATTTCTGTAAGTATGTTCCTCCCCTGCCAAATTGAACCCTCCCTCATAACGAAGAAAAATAATTAAGCAAAAATACATACATGATATAGTTACTCTATCTGATAATTATTTTTTTTAAATTGGCTCGTTAAATCTCCCTTCCACTCTTGAGAGGAGAAGAGGTATGGTTCATTATCTATTCTCTGGGATCTTTATTGAATTTTTAGTTTCATTGAGTTTAGCTGCCCACCAGTGATCTTTTCATTTACATTGTTAAAGCCAATGTATATGTAGATTTTTTCTTTTAATTTGGCTCATTTCATTTTGAATCATTTTATACAAATCTTCTCATATTTCTCTGAAAATCTCTTACTCAGTACTCTCAATAACTTTCTTCTCTCCCTCTCTAGTTCCTTCCTGTTCCCTAAGTCTGCAACCCAACTTCTGGTCTTACTTGCCTCTCTTATTCAACCTTGGATTCCAACACGAAGCATTCCAATAATGTGCTTCTCAAAGCCTAGAATATCTCATGATCTTATTCTTCTAGTTTGCCAGCGTCTCAGTTGGAGGCCAGAGGGTGAGGAGGATATTAAAAACTGTATTGCTCACTTTCCTCTTTTTGTCCCACAGTTGCCAAGTGTGGGGAATGGTCATGAAACCAAGTTGTTAGACTCTACTACAAATTAATATTCTCTCACTTCAGTGAGTATCTGAATCCTACCTGGCAGCCCTTTGCTTTGCCTCTTATTGTCTCATATGGATCTTTCTACAGTGGTTGTTTCTAGATCATTCCATGATCTACAAGGATGCAATGTTTTCCTGGTCCAATTTTTTTTTTTTTTTTTGGCAGCAATTGACTTTATCTGGGCAGTTAGGGGGCATAGTAGATGCAGCATTGGGCCTGGAGTCTGGAAGGGACATGAGTTCAAATGTAGCCTCTGACATTTGGTATTTAGCAACCTTAGGCCAGGGGTGGGGAACCTATGGCTTCAGTGGCCACATGTGGCCTTGACACCACAGGGTCCCCATCCCTGCCCGAGGCAAATCAATTAAACCCTATTTACCTCACTGTCCTCATCTGTAAAGTAGAAATAATAATACACCTACCTTCCACAGTTGTGAGGGTCAAATGAGATAATGATTATAAAACTCTTTGCACAATACCTGATATATAGTATAAATGTTAGCTGTTATTAGCTATTATTTATTACTTTATTGAGACTCTATCAGCCATCTACCGCGACCTCCCTTAGCTTCCTTTTGCTCTACCTCAGAATGTCTCTGTATTTTCTCTAAGTCTACCCTACTGTCTCAGAAAAGGAAATTTTTTTCTTTTTCCAGAGCTAACCACTGCCCTGTGGCTAATTAGCTTCACTGCCTTGTTGAATCTTCTGTCTCCTTCTCCATTGTCTCTTTTTTTCTGCCTACTTATATGTATTGACTTCCTAAATATAACATTTTAATCTTAATGTTTAAATGTTTTTTATTTATTTAATATTATGTAATATTTTAATATTTTTTAAAAAGTCATAACTTGGACACATACTCAATTATGGTACCATGGACAAGTCTCTTGACTTCTTTGTTTCAGACAGGTTTCTAATATTGATAAGTATAGACAAGTTAGGAATCTTCATTAATGAAGGGAGTTTTTATGCTGGGAATTCTCTCCATTCTTGAAATCATAGGTCTATAAAACTTCCCCAACTCCATCCAAAAAAAAAATCTACTTTGTGATGTGAAAATGTGTGGTATCTTATCTGTCCTATTAAACATTAAGCTTTATTCCATGTTTTTATTCATCTGCAGGGATAAAATATATATTTACTAAATGAATAAATGAATCAGTGAGCACTTAATTGTTTCTTATATGATGGTTGATAAGATAATGCTATAGGAAGAACAGTGCTCTTTGAGTCAGGAATATGAGTTTTCATAGGTAGGCATTATTTCCTTTTTATCTTTTTATTCTTGACACCTAGCATAGTTCATGGGCATATAAAATGAACTGAAGCTCTGGATCTAACATTTTCTTGCTGCATGACCCTATAAAAGTCATTCAAACTCTCTTGGCCTTGGTTTTCTCAGCTATAAAATGGGGGCAATAACACTTGAACAGACTTGTGAGGAAAAAATTTTATGAATGTTAAAGTACCGTTTAATATGAGGAAATGTTATATTTCATGTTCAAAGATAACTATAACTTCTGATCCAGCTATTCCCCTCCCTCATCCTCTCAGTTTTTATTGCACAAGGACTGGGGCTGATTTCAAGAGTTATCCCCAAATGGTCATTTTCTTTTTGACTTATTATGCCTCCACCTAGAGGTTAAATAATCTCTTGCATTTATATACTTTTTTAGGTGTGTCCATGAACCCTACCCTACCCTTCCCTAATATTTTACATATGTTACCTGATTTGATATCTCCTAAAATGTTCCAGTCTAGGATTTCATAAGTACAAGTAAGGATGTCTGTAGGTCTTGTCTAAGCATTTAAGGTAATAAATGCATATCAAGGAAAGGACAACATTCATTGTATTGAAAATACAGAAAGTTTAAAAGTTTCCTGGGTACCTGTGAACCCATGATACAGAAAACATATAAAGCACTCAGTAGCTCATAACCCCTGGAAAGAGAAATAAACTTTGGGTTGCAAATGGTAAATCACTATGACATTCTAGTGAAATGCCTCTCTACCACAGAATCCTACACTTTCCCTCTCAGAAATGTAATTGCTTCCCTCTAGCTTGGGTTCATCTCAGAAGGCAAACATACTTTGGGACAAATGAATGAACGACCCTTTTCCCAATATATCTAAACTATCTAAATAAGTAATGGCAAACGGAGGCAGCTAGGTGGTACAGTGGATAGAGCACCGGCCCTGGATTCAGAAGAACCAGCGTTCAAATCTGGCCTCAGACACATAACACTTACTAGCTGTGTGACCCTGGGCAAGTCACTTAACCTCCACTGCCCAACCGAAAAAAAAAGTAATGGCAATAGATCCACATTCTGCAGACATGTCTTAGGCTAGGAAACCCTACACATATTTCTCCAGTCTCTGACTTGTTCGGAAATAGAAAGGTGAAGGAAGAGAGGAACTTGAAATCTGGGAACTCCTTTACTAGGCTGCCCAGTCAAGTATTTGCAGCTCATTAAGTGCTTTTGATGAAAGTCAATGACTAAGGGATGGGGGTAATATGGGATGCAGAGGAAGAAACCCCTCCTCTCACTGCTACATTCTGTGAGGAAGGTTCAAAGCACAGATATATAAAAAGGGGCGGAAAGTAGTCTGTTGTCTTTGCTTTGGAAGCCAACACAGAGAAGCGAGACTTCCAACAATAGTTCAGCATCCAGAGTCCTAGCATCTTGGGGCAGTCCCAGTATGTGAAATGTAAAACAGTAGTTCCAAATCAGCCATTTCATTTTGGGGTAGCCTTAGTTTCTGAAAACCAGAAGTTGTCTTTATTCTATTAAGAAGATGACATTAGGCATAGGGAGGGAATTATAGATAATCAAAGGCACAGAGACTCACCTTCTGGCAATCCTATTAATTTAGCTAGGCAACTACCGCAGTACCCTAACTGTACTCTGTAAAAATATTGTATAAATAACAAACTTAATTATTTCAATTTAATGTAAAGTTTGCATTGTTCACTTTTTATCCCAAAGTCTGTACTCTTCAGAGTAACTTGTATGATAGGCATTATGAATTATATTAGAAAAAATAAATGTACAGGAACTTTTATTTTTTTTTCTTATATCATGTTCAATTCAGATGCCCCACAAACCTCAAAATGACTGCTAGAATTCAACTGATGACACTTCCCATAAATTATAGGAGAATAGTTTTTAAGAATACTTAATCTATACAAAAAGCATTTTTAACCAGATTTTTTTTTTGGTAGCAAGCATCACAATCTTTATGCATTTTGTTAATCATATGTTCCCTAGAGAAGTGATGGATGTAAAACTGGGGCAAATGTTGCTTTATAAATGAAGCAATAAACACAAATAACACTTTTTCAATCTGTCCCAAATTCTGCAAGTAGTGTAGCTTCTTTTTATTTGTGAGATATATATATATATATATATATATATATGTATATATATATATATATATATGTATGTGTAAAATAGTTTGATTTCTATATACACTTTCCAATTATCACACCATTCCCACATGTGTTTACCTTGGTTCAGTCTGTCAGTGAATATGGTCTTGATTCCTTTAATTAGAAACTGTTTTCAAATGTGAGTATTTTATTGCCCCTTCCCAATCCATTGCCGTACTTGCACACACAAAGGACTGTAGATTTTTAGAGCTGAAAGGAAGCTTTGAGATTGTTCGTGGCTAGTCATTTTTGTGTCTTTTTTTTTCCAGAACTCAATCAATATGATAGATGAAATTTTTTTGTTTAATTTTCTTGGCTCCTCAAGCCAGTAACAGACAACTTTTAAATGTGTACATGTTAAGCTGAAAGGTGAACAATTGAAGATCACAGAAAAGCTGATGCTCAGACTGTTTTATTTCTTAGCATAGACATGTTATTTTTTTTTATTTTGTTTTCAGTCCATTCGAGAAGTCACTGGGTATGTCTTGGTGGCTCTTAATCAGTTTCGCTACCTGCCTCTGGAGAATTTGCGTATCATACGTGGAACAAAACTTTATGAGGATCGATATGCCCTGGCAATCTTTTTAAACTACAGGAAAGATGGGAATTTTGGACTTCAAGAACTGGGTCTGAAGAACTTGACTGGTAAGGAAATATTCCTTAATGGCCAAGACACTCTATACTTTTTGTGTCTTCCTTTGTTAATGTGATATTCTGTTGTGTGGATCTATATAAATATACATATAGAAGGTTATATTCAAGGTCACTTTTGTATAATATGCATATATGTATGTTATAGATATAAGATAGGTTTTCACATGTGACTTAGCAGTATAGAGATACCCAGCACTTATTTTTATTATAGAACATATGATTCCCTTCTGCCTATTTCCAAACATTGTGAGCTTTAAGAAATAGCATAATGCCATATCTCAAGCAAACAGCAGTACATTCAAAGGAAATGTTCAGTGACCATGAAAAACAAGATATGAAACAGGCTTAGGAAAGTGATGTTGGGTGGTCCCAAATGAACAGTAGAGCATATCATCAAATCATAGCAATAAAACCCTAACACTTACTGTCCTTGGGGCAGCTCACTTTGTGTTTAAGCTATACTTAAAGCCTTGTGTTTCCTTGAACCATTTCCTTGTTGTTATTGCTTCAATTACTATAGCTTAGAAGATATATTTTCATCACTTATGAAATCTGTTCAATTTTCAAATATTTTAGAATGATTTAATCTCCAAATTATAGATAATAGCTAGCATTTACATAGGCCTTTTGGGTTTTCAAGGCCCTTTTAAAAAATATCTCATTTTGTCCTCATGATACCCTGGGAAGTAGTTGCTATTGTCATCTCCACTTTATAGATGTGGAAACTGAAGCAGAGGTTGCAGCTTGCTTAAGGTCACACAGCTAGCTAGTAAATGTCTCAAACCAGGTTTGAAATAGTCTCCTTGACTCCAGATCCAGGAATCTATCCCCTGTGCTATTGAGCTGCCTAAATGTAGAGCATGAAGTAGTATTAGAGACCATCTAGTCCCACCCCTCATTATGTAGTTAAGCAAAATGAGGTTTAAAGAAGGTTAAGTGACTTTGCTAAAGTGCACATAGGTAATAAGTGGCAGAACTTGTATTTGAACCTGTCTTCTTGACTTCAGTTGCAATGCACCTTTCATTGAACCATACTTTCTCTTAAAATGCATGTGTTAACATAATGTTGCTAATTTTATTTCAAATTGCTTGCTTATATATATGCAATTTAACAAATTAGATTTTGCCATTTTAAAAACCATATTGTCATTTATCAATTAATCCTAATGTTATTATTTTTTAATATGAGAGCATGTTTTTTTCTTTCCAAACTGACCTAAGAAGCTCAGGAATTGTTAGATTAAATTCTGCAGTGTTTGTGAACATTGGGTTCGTCAAGCATTTATTAAATTTTTACTATATGCCAGGCACTAGTGATAGAACAGTGAAAACAATAGAGTTCCTCACCGCATAGTGTTTGAAGTCTCATGAAGAAAAGACAAATAACCAAACATGAATGACCAAAATTTAATTCAAATTATATTGAAATTTACAGGAGAGATCCAATAAAATCTTTAAGCATGTAAAAAAAATAGTAGGAGGGGAATCATTTCTAACCAGACAGATCAGGGAAAGGTGTCATTGAGGAGTTGGCACCTGACCTGGATTTTAAGGGAAAGAATTTTAGGAGCTGGAAAGAGTCTATTCCAGTCAAGGGAGGATTGATAGTCTTTGCAAATGCACAGAGGCAGGAGAGGAGAGGAAGAAATTGGGCTATAGTGAAGATATATTGCTTATGGAGTTTATCACTTATACATAATAAAATAGATTTCCAATTATAGTTTTATGTATATTTTATATGCTATATCTAGCATCCATAGAGTGTTCATTATCAGTTACACATCTAACATTTTGAACTAAAAGAATGGGCACTATTACCTAGAATACTAAACATTCCAGAGATAGAGATTAATGTTATTGTTCCATAGCTTTTTACTGCATTTAGAGTCAGAGGACCTGGGTTCAAATATTAGCTTGTCACTTATTACCTGTATCAACTTATACTAGTCCTTCGACCTCAAGTTCCTCATCAGTAAAAGTGGCAGGGTTAGATTAGAAGACGTCCTTAAGATTTATTCTAGCTAGGAATCTGTACTCTTATGATTTGTAGACTGAATCCTTAACAAATTGTTGGTCACTGGAGGGGAAAATATGTTTTTTCCTATGTGAATAATTAGACAATTTCTAATAATTTATGAGAATATTCCCATTTGACCTTTGTCTCACATCTCTGCACTTCAGTTTTCATATCTATAAAATGAGGACATTAAACGAGTTGGCATCTAGAATTCTTAACCAATTAGCCTATGTACCTATGTAGCTATGTTTATCTATTTCTTCTGGTTCCCCACTTTTCTGCACTGCACCAGAAATATTTCTGAATCTTAGAAAATTTTTCTTTCAAAGAAATATGTATTTAAAAGGATGACAATTATTTCATTATGGAATTTTGTAAAAATATGTCATCGCCAGTAGTGTTGTCTTAGTATTAAAAATGAAATCCAGTAACATTCCATTCTACTATTGCCATATAATGCTGCAGTGGCTTATTGTTATTATTGTTATTCTTGTTCCTGTTATTTTTTTTAAACCAAAGCTGGGCCACAATTTAGTCAACCACATGTGAGAGACATGAGGATGAGAGATTACATTTCAAAAAGGATTTGAGAATAGTTATGACATAGATTTCTATGAGAATAGAAGTCTCAGAGTTGATGAGGGTAGAGGTGACCCCAAATCTTTTCCAACTTCTAGGTTTCACTTTCAGCACTTTCACTTTATATTTCTTTCAAAGACTTTTTATTTTTGTATGTTCCTTTTGTTGTGATAAGACTCTTACTCAAGTGGAAAAGAAGCCTGGAATAGGTTGGGGTGGGTACATGAGAACAATCTGTAAATGGGAGGAATAGGAGAAAATTGAAGGATTAAAATCAGGAATCTAAAAATAATATCGTCTGGTTAAAACAAGAACGGAGAACAATCTGTTTTCTGCATTATTCTTCTCTGATTATATTAGAGTAGAAATGAATGGAGTTAGATTCCCACTTTTGTAACACTTGAATCATGCTATTATTCACTGTTTTAAGATGTGCTAATTGAAGCATCTTCCCTTGTAGCAAAACTGGCTCTAAAGTTTTCTCTAATTCGTTAATTTCTACATTCAATAATGGTATCAGTAAACTACTAAAATGGATATCATTTGTTTAGAAAAGGGCTGAAACTGGACCAGACTTAACTGTATCTTGAATTTAACATCTATAACACTCATAACAAATACAACTGCGTAAGTTGTAGGTTACTGGTGCTAGGAGTTAACAGTTTTGCAGTAGTGTTGTACTTGAATCAAAGACTATTATTTTAAAAATCGTATTTCCAATGTTCTGTTGAATCTCAGGGAATCTAGTCTTTTTCTCAGAGTAAACATAGCAGGTGACATGGAAATAGTACTTGAGTGAATGAGATGGATGTTCAGAGAAAGCAGGCACCTTTTATTATTAGAATCATTATTATCATTGTAATCTTTATTTTTATTATTTACTGCCCCACTTTGAGTATTAAAAAATGAAGTAAAATTGAACAATTAGGTGAAATCATAAGCAATCTGGAAATGCAGTTGGTTAGTACCAGGTGGCAGAGTGGGTAGAATGCTGGGCCTGGAGTCAAGAAGACTTATCTTTGTGAATTCAAATGTGGCCTCAGACACTGGCTGTGTAACCCTGGACAAATCACTTAACCACATTTGCCTTAGTTTCCTCATCTGTAAGGTGAGCTGGAAAAGGAAATGGCAAACCACTCGAGTGTCTCTGCCAAGAAAACCCCAAATAGGTTCATGAAGAATTGTACGTGACTAATTGATTAAACAACAATAACAACAAATTGTATGTTGGCTGGTTTTGATGAGAATAAATCAGACCAGGGGCTTAGCCAGATTAGGGACTTTGAAACAATTGAGACATAACATCTTATACAAAATACAGACTTAGAATGTGACTCCCAAGAGAGTTATACATTGGCTCTGTGAAATTCAGTTCAACAAATATTTAAGTTGCCTTCTATGTATCATGAAGTGTACTAGGCACTGGGAATATCAAAACAAAAAACAAAATCAGTCTCTATTCTTAATAGGTATAAATTCTTCCTGATAGTTATATACAAAAAATCTGTTGTTCAATGGTGTCTGACTATTTATGACCCCATGTGGGATTTTCTTGGCAAAGATACTGGAGTGGTTTGCTATTTCCTTTTTCAGCTCACCTTACAGATGAGGAAACTGAGGCAAACCTGGTTAAGTGACTTGCCCAGGGTCACACAGCTAGCAAGTGTCTGAGGCCAGATTTGAACACGACAAAATGAGTTTTGTTCACTTCAGGCCCAGCACCCTATTTACTGCACCACCTAGCTGCCCCATATGTATGTGAGGAGATTTTAATGGTACTAGCTGCTGGAGGATGTGAGGGTGAGGAAAGTTTCATGGAGAAGGTGGCCTTTGAACTGTGACTTGAGGGAAATTGAGGAATCTGTGATCTAAGTAAGGAGGGAAGGCATATATACAAGTAGGGGGTTAGGCAGTGCATATGAGGAATGACAAGAAGGACAAATCTGGCAGAACTGCCCTGTGAGTATATGGAAATCATGTGCAATTAGGCTGGAAATGTAGATTTGGGCCTGCTTGTAAAAGATTATAAATGCCAAACAGAAGAGTCACAGAAATAAAAATCACCAGGGTTAAGTACAAAGTAATTTGAAGAGAGAGAAAGGCTAACAAAAAGGGGAGGAGGGAAAATTCAATAAAAATCTCACAGTGGAGGTAATACTTGAACAGATAAGAATTCTGTTAGGTTTAGATGAAAAAAAAGTACATTTAAAAAATGGGGGATGAGAGGCGAATGGGATGTGAGGAGAAAGAATGTTCATTTCAGCACACAGGTTCAGGTTAGGAGTGTGTGTGTGTGTGGGTGTGGGTGTGTGTCTGTGTGCGTTTGTTCTTGTGTATGTGTGTGTTTATGATGAAGAATAGAAGGTATCTTTGGTGTTTGTGAAGAAGAAATAGA